TTCTCGCCAACCACCTTCGGCCCCGGTACCTTTAAGACAACTTCTACAGTCTTTATGATCTGCGCATCGTTTTTCGCATTGTGTACTTCCCATTTTAATACTTGATCGTTCAAAAATGTCATCTGGTACACAATTCCAATCGTATACAGGTTCTCCCGTTACTGCAAGTCCTAGTTCAGCTATAAATATTTTGAAAAATTATTACGAATTATTTAAAAATTATTATACTATTTTATAATAATTCTCTTAAAACTTACATGTTTTTAAGACCTGCCTTGTCCATACGCAACCTTCGAGACTATTACATTTCTCACAATCACTTGCTGGACATTGTCGTTCTCCACATTTATTTACATCTGTTACCGATATTTGTCTAATACTGCATTTGTTTAATTCGTCGCAATCTTTCTCGGATGGTATGCACTTTCCGTTCGGACAGTGCGTACACCATTTGCATACTGGTTCTTCATTTTTGTAATATGGCCATTCTGCTAAGCATTCTGTGCAAGTTTTAAAATTCTGACATTTTCTACTGATCATCCACTCTGAATTACAAAAAATTCCATTTGATCGTTGAGCTTGTGTTACGTTAACATCACATCTGAAATTAATATTTCTGCCATATATTTAAAAGTATTTATAAATATGTTTATTGAAATAAAGATAAAATTTACCTGTCGTCTTTGTTGATTGATATTTCATTAGAGAAACAAAATGAAGCATTTTTTCCACTAATTGTGACAACAGAACAAAAGGAACATCCAAAGTATTTCCTACAAGTGATTTTGTCTGTCCAAAGATTACATAAATCTTCTGGTATGCTTATAAGAGTGACGTGACTTTTGATTCCACCGTCAAAACCACCAACTACATATACAGCATTAGATTCTGGATCAGCATGAGTCATTGCATGAGCATATGCTGGTGGTGGTGGACTTCCAATAACTTCCATGTCTTTCGTTATTAAACGAATCCATAAATTACATGAATATTTATAAGCAATTAACGAATCAGAAGTATTATGTGGGTTTTGACGACCACCAAATATTACCATATATTCATCAGTGGTAACAGCAGAATGAAGGAATCTAGCTTGTGGCTATAATAAAATATTAATTAAATTTATTATCGATCCTGATTTATTAAAAATTAAATAATTAAATGTTTACTCACCAAACTACTTCCATCGGTGAGATCATCATCAAATGGTGGAAGTACAGACCATGTGCGAGTTTTGTAATTTAGTGCATACAATTTATTAGAAATAAATGTTCGATTTATTGCGTAAGTATATCCACCGAAAATATAAAAACTATCTGACTTGCTATGATATACAGTTGAATGACCATATACACCTAATGGTCCATTTCCAATTGTATTTATTGTATTCCAAGTTTCTGTTTCTAAATTGAATTCCCATACTGTGTCAAGGTAGCCATATTTGGGACTGAATCCTCCAATTAATATTAGACTTTCTGATTCTCCATTTCTACGTAAAGTCAAAGTATGTCCAGCTAAAAGTGGTGGTTCTTTCTTAAACTCATCTTGTGTAATTTGCATCCACCTCTGATTCTGCAGACTAAATTTCCAAAAGTCGCTTAATGTGTTATTTGATATTCCTTGAATGTCTTCCTGTTTCATTGATAAACCACCATAAACATATATTTGTTGCCTACTATGAACTATTTCAGTTGCATGGAAGTATCTACCTTGAGGCATTGAAGCCTCTGTAGTAGATTCTACAGTAATGGGCATCCATGTATTATTTTTAGTATCAAAAAGTCTAATATCATTTAGAGGACCGTGACTAAGAGAGTATCCCCCAAACATCCACAAGCTACCTCTTCTGTCAGCAACCAACGTGTGACCAAATCTCGGTAAAGTTTTTCTTAGATGGTCCAAATGATCGGCCAAATATTCGGAATTAAATAGTTCCGTAAAAATTAACTGATGTTCTTTAATCTTAATTGAGCAATCACGTCCACCATAGCCGGATGCGCAAACGCAACGCCCGTAACCTTTATCGCAGATTCCTTGCTTTTTAGATGAAGTGCAATTGTTAGGGCATATTTCGATATCACAGTTGATCCCCACAAAACCAGCTTTACATAAACAGTTACCATTTCGACATTCCCGATTTCCTGGACAATTATTGCACGTCATTATCAAGTAGCTTGCATTAAAACCTTCTACTTCATCCAATTGTTTATAATGAACAGTAAGAAATCCAGACTTAGCTTCTACAGTAACAGGATAATCTGTACTTTCTGTACAATAAACACCTAGGAGCTGACTCTGATGACTAGTTGATGACGAAACGAATTCAGGAAGTCCATCGTATACATAAACACTATTTTCTTGGCAACTAACATTAATATCATCATGTATAGTAAATTGTATGACACTTTGAGTTCCTGAGAGCATGTTGTCTGATGAAAGATCAGTTTTTGGACTTACTATCCACAGACACTCTCTTGTTGGAGAATCTCCAAGATGACTTTCCCATAACGATAACTGCGAGTGTCTGCTGCCAAGACCTTGTTTGCCATTTCCTTCTCCCCCAAGCATACCTCGAGACATACAACCATAATAACACATTCCGCCATCTCTTGGATCGCCGTAATAGCCTTTCTTACAACGCTGACACATATCTCCTTGCGTGTTATCACGACAAAAGCATACGCCAGTTTGTCGATCACAAATGCCTAAGTTTTTGTTTCCATGTTCATTGCAATTGCATTTTCTGCATCCAAGAGGTGTTGTAGCATTACCATAACTGCCTGCTTTACATTCCTCACAGTATCTTCCAGTAGTCCAATCCTGACATTTATCACAAATACCTGGTCCTTGTGTGCAAGTAGAATGATTGTAACAACCACAATTTGTTCTACAATCTGGACCTGTCCATCCAAGGTTACATTTGCATTTATAATCGGGTGCTTCGCTACAATAACCATTGACACATTTCTCATAACAAGTTTTAGTACAGTTCTCTTTGCCATCTCCATTAAAACCTCTTTTACATTGACAGCTAAAACTTCCATGAGTATTTGTGCATACCGCATTGGGATGACAATCATGTAAGCCCAAGTCACATTCGTCGACATCTGGACACTGAGCGTATGCCCAACCCGATTCATCTATCTCTAATGTGGTATTTTGATATTCATTGATAACAAAACTACAATTGATGTGCGGCTGATTGAAATCTCCTTGTACGCATGCTCCTATGATAGGATTTTCTAGACTGTAACACCACCCACAACTTAACGAGTGCAAGCAACTAGAACAATTTGTATGCCGACTGCAACTTTTGCATTGATCATTGCCTGTTAAAGACGATCCAGACCTTGATGTTACTCCCATTAAGCCAGCTTGATCCATCCATTCTCGGCACAAACCAAATTGATATTCAGATGTATATACCGAAAAAGAAAAACACTCTTGTGTGGCTTCACACCACACGCATCTTCCACGCTCATCTAAACATTGCGTGCAATTTGAACGTTGTCTACATGGAATTGGACATTGATTAAGGCTAACAACTGCATTAGGTAGTCTACCAATTCTTGCACAACGAGCTTCCTCCGTCCACCATTCGCACAAATTACTACCAACGCAGGATTCACATGAGATGTAATTGGAACAATTAGCACACGCTGATGGAGTGATAGTTAGATAATGCCATTCGCGAGTAGGATTCCCATCTTCATCCCATTCTACGTCAGCTACACAACTTTCTGTTTCATTAATTGAGCGTGAAAGACATTTATTGATGATATCACACCAACCGCACGAAGAATCGGTTAAGCAATGAAGGCAATTCTTATATTGATGGCAAGAACCGTTTTGAAATGGTTCAAGGTATTCAAATGTAAATACTTTTGGGTTCTCCGTTTTCTTGTTGTGAGTAATTTCCATCTTACTGGCATACGCATAACTTGTAGTAACCATCCTTTTCGATTCGAAATCTAATAAATATCTTCCTGGTAGCAACATCATTTGATGTCCATCTGGCCATTTTGTTAGAATGCATTGTGATGTTTCAGCAGTTAAATTTGCAACTAATTCCTAAACAAATTTAATTAAAAAATGTAAAATAAAACAGAAATGCAATTTACCTTTTTATTATTTCTTATTAGTACTTTAGTGAAAGAATTTACCAATTCCTGAGGGTCATCACTCCTTGATACATGTAAAGTTGCACTATTGTAACTAACACAAATTTTCAAATGCTCCACTGTGCTATCCCAAAAAGATTGAGGCGGTCTGAGGAATCCAATCAATCTAGCAATCATTTCTCCTCCAAGCGCTGATTCTGTTTTTGCTCCTTGCATAGACGGAACATTAAAATCTACGGTAGTGGCATTGACTATCGTTACCGAGTCGGGTTGACTAAAATTCACTGGAGGTTTATATTTTAAAAATGTTAATCCTGGTCTTTTATCCATTTCTCGGCATTCTTCGACTTTTATAATTTCTGTGCCTTTTGGACCCCACCACCCAGGTATTTGTGATGGTGTATCGTCTCGAAGTCCACAAACACCATAATTATCATCTTTATGATGACAACGCGCGTTCTGAACACACCATGTACAAGTCCCGCGATTTAACTTATTTGATACAGATTTTTTTCCACGTGCAGTTGTACCCCAACCTCCACCAGGTTGGCCATGTATTAAACAAGAGTGACAATCTCCAAGTGCAGGACAAACACCTAGACAACGTGTCGTTTGAAGATTTGTTGTACAATTACTACCGATAGTTCTGCCATAACATATCTAAAATAAGTTAAATATTTATTAAAAAATAATAGCAATATTTTGTACACTAGAAGCATACCTCATCTGCCGAACACCAACCACATTCTGGATTAGCTGTGCATTCCATTAAACTTTTATGTCTTGAACAAATTTGTTCAGGTTCTATATTATCTTTATCTCCTGGTGCAAGCATCGGTGGTAATGTATATGCAAGCAAATCCGCATTTACGTTTCCATGATAACCACCAACCAATAACAGTGTATTTCCATTTCGTACATCTGCTGCGTGTGCAAATACTCCTTGTTGCTTTGGATAACGAGAATCTAGAATATTAAAATAAATGTTTTAACACGAAAGAAATTAAGATTTTAAACGATTTTTATTTTAACTGTAAAAGTTTCAATTTACCTTTATCATTTAAACCTAGTACATCATGGCTTACCCAAGCATGGCAGCCTAGATGATAAAGATACATTTGATTATCATAACAAATTTCTTCTTTATTATGTCTATGAGAATATCCGCCAAATACAACTAAATAATTTCCTGAAAATTTTTTTAATATAGTTTATTAAAACTTCAATTTAATAATAATGTAATTATAAATGATCAACGTTCTATGATCTATTTAATGACAATTACAATAAAGATAACTACCTATAATGTTACAAGTATGAAATGCCCGTTCTCTTGGAACATAAGTATCTCTCAAATGTGCTCTCGGATAATGAATTTCAGACCAAACCTTCCTGTCAAGTTGAAACACAAACATTCTATCGGATAATTTACTAAATCGTGCTACACTGGCTACTACTCCCCCATAAACTAATAAAGAATTAGTAGCATAATGGTACACAGTTGAATGTGCAACTACACGTACATCTAATTCTTTACCACCTCGCGGGTGTACTTCTTTCCATCTTTCTGTGGTTGCTGTAAGATCAGCTAGAATTAAAAATTTAATACAACAAATTTTTATAACATGAAGCTTAAATGTAGTAAATCTGCATTATTCAATAAACTTACATAAATTCAATTTAATCTTATATAAACTCGACGAAAATTCACCATCAACTGTGCTACCACCAAAAAGATAAATATAATTATTTGCTAAAGTAAGAGTATGTCTTGTCAACTGCGGTGGATAAAATGGAGAATTTTTTGCACGTAATGTCCAAGAACGTGTGTTGACATCGTAATGCCATAGTTCATTAGATAAAGACCCATCCTGTACTTTTCCACCATATATAACAAAACCACCTATTAATTATATAATTTGTAAATCATATTATAATGATATTACATCTTTTTTTTAATATTTTAAATGGATATACAACTGACCGTCATATCTACAAGCTGCGTGACCATATCGCGGACTTGGTTTAGGTAATTTATCAATTGGTGATTTGGTAGACTCATCGTTTAATGATTCATCTTTTACTTTAGGTTCTTGACTATAAATGTTGTCTCTAACAAAATCTTCTGTATTTTCTTCTTCCCAATTTAATATATCACTTTTTATATGAAATTCTTGATAAGGATCTAGATTTTCGAGATTTCTACGATGTCTAATATAAATAAAAAAATAGCATTAATTGCGAATCAATAATATATTAATATTCAGCAACCATATTCTGCAATTTATTTTTACCTTGTAATTTGCGCATATCGTGGCCTAGGACGTCTAAAATGTTTTCTTCTAAAATCATCATTTCTTTCTATTCTAACTGTGCTTTTACTTTTTTCACCATCTCTGCCTTCGTGAAATTTTTCCTCGCGATCCTTATGGTCTCCAATTCTAAATTTTGACCAACCATGTCCATTTTCTGTATTTCCAAAGTTACGTGTGCTAAAGGTATTATTGTCTTTAATACTAGAAAGTACTTTCCACATAAGAGATGAGGTACGAAGACCATATAATTCTTTTTCATCTGCATCTGTCCGTTTTAATTCAGTAGCAAGTAACATAGGATCCAAATATTCTGCAGATGAGACGCCTTCTGTTTTAGACATGTATAGTAAATAATTTTCTAGTACAGCAGATATCATAATACATTTGTAATGAATACATTTAAATGTTTTCTGATTACCTAGTTCATTACCATATTCATCTTCCCACTGACTTGTGCTAAATCGATACACTTCCAAATTACTGAGTATATAATTAAGATCATAACCACCAAAAACATAAAGAGAATCAGTTTCTTTTATGTAAATTGCAGTATGTGCTGCCCTGGGCCTTAATCCACCTTCTGAATGAGAAAGCCAGTGCCATCTATTTATCGTATTTAGTAATCAGTAAATAATAACATGTAAATAATAAATGTATTATATTTAATGCTATATATATTACTATACACACTTGTTGCCTTCAGGATGTGTCTTGTGTAATGAACAAGACTGTCCTGAGTATCCATTTTTACAATCACATCGTTTTAAACCACACTCTCCATTATAACTACAATTATTTGGACAAAGAGCTTTGGAGCAATCTCGACCACCCCAGTCATTTTCACAAAAGCAAGTATTATCAATGCATTTGCCATGATTTGTACAATTACTTGAACAATTCGTAACTGAAAATTCTGCATGAAACCCATCCAAAACATAGTTTGTATCACTGTACAAAAGTATTAACATCTGTAGAAGAGAAAGTAAAATTACAATATTTTCAAATGATCATAAGATATAAATTATTTATTTATCTATTATTTATTATTGAAAGACATACATAACCAGATGATGATGTCACTTGTTGAGGTTCTGTTTTTCCACTGAAACTACCTAGAAGTGGAGATCGAAAAGAATCTCCATCGTAAACAAAAACATAATCATAGCTACATTCTGTTCCCATGGTACGGAAACTCAAAGTAATGAACTGACGGCTATTATTTGCTGTGAAATATATACATTAAATTATGAATGAACAATCACGAAAATTGGTTCAAACATTGTTATCAAACTTTCATACCTTTTATAAGCCATTCACAATGAGAATCTTGTGTATAATTCGAACCCAAAGGTCCATCACTAATGATTCCCCAAGAATCAGTGAAAACTTTCCTAGTTTTATCACATGGAATTTGTTTTGGAGATGTCTGTGGAGCTAATTCTAAGCCCCATAACAGGCAACTCCATATTGTAATCCATATTGTGGTGGACAAGACCCACCCCATTACAGTATATTCGCCACACTACTGCTTAGTAAAGTAAAACTCATCATCCACATTCATTGGACTGTTTTTTGAGCAATTATGTTGTAAAAAATTTATATAAAGAATTATATCTAAAAAGAAAAAGAACAGGCCCTTTAGTTATTAATAGCATATAACAAAGTTTATTATTTATTAGATGTAGTGACTTTATTCTATAAAATAAGAAAATCATTGAAAAGAAACAGTTCAGTGTCACACATCATTTTCTTCTTCGCTATACCATAAACTTTCACTATTAGCTTTCACTGTACCATATGATAAACATAGAAAAAAACAAAATATATTTTACTTTATTAATAAATTAAACATAGAATTGAGTTTAATGCAAAAAAAAAAAAATCAAATTATCAATGGCGTGCAGTAAAACTTTTCTCATCATAGTTGTTCATAAAAATGTTTATTAGTCAGTGTTGTATAAGCTTTGCTTATAAAAACAATCTTAAGTTACAGAAACAACGTTTAGTATATTGTATCACAATCACGTTGTGCAATGATCACACAAATGTCAAGCATACCGTGACTAGAACTTTATACGCTTGTTAAATAAAAAATAGATATTAATTCATACACATTCTACTGTGAAATTCAATAATCAGCAACAAGATGGTGAAATACTGTAATTTTTGTCAGTGAAAATACAATCGGGCAGCATTCTTCAATGAAATAGGTACGACCGAACTTCAGCTGCGATTGAATCAAAACATTATGCACGTATACACACATACATGTCAGAAAAATCTGTACCGTGCTATACTTTGAATAGTTGCATTCTCTGAACGCTAGTTATTTCAAATACATGTATTATCTCAATTATCACGGCTCGAACGTTGCTAAGACAAAACGACAAACGGTAAGGTAAATGGGCGAATGCAAACAGACGAGAAATATCGCGTAAACTTTCGTTCAGCCTCGCCTGTTGACACCTTGACTGTCTCTGCATGCGTCAGGGTGGGGGCTCTTCAACCGCCATTAAATTCCCCTCGTTTTGAACGCAGTCTTAACATTCGAAAGTTTTCAGGGACACTTCGATTGAAAAAACGCCATATAAAATTGCTTTCCGTCATCAGGTTCAATTTATGCCTACATGACGCTAATCGGGTCATTTATACGTGTGTGTGTATATATATATATTTTTTTTTT